CGCTTTACACAATTGATGTGTGTATGGATTGCGATAACAGTTGTATGAGCCCCTAATAAAATGTTAAAAAAAACACCCGAAAGTTTTCTTCAAACCAAATAACAGTCTAAATGATGAAGAGCGTCTGCCTTGAGCATTCTGCGCTTTCAAGATCGATCTCAAACTCTCCCTACCACCAAGTCCCTTCTGACCCACAGGGTCCTATAGGCAGGGTAGGGCTGCCCCTGGGGGCTCCAAGGCTGTACCTCTTATGGCAGTCTTTGTCCCAAGGTCTATCTCCAGAAGACAAAACTGATGGTAAACAAACAACAAGAGAATAAAATTCACCGCCATCGAGTGGATGCCAACTCATGACAGCGCTACAGGACAAGGTAGAATCTGCCCTTGTGGTTTTCCAAGACCGTAACTCTTTGTTGGAGTAGAAAACCTCCTTTTGCTTCCCGGGAGCTGACTGGGGGTTCCAAACTGGGTCCTTGTGGTTAGCAGCCCCACACAGAACCACGATGCCATCAGGGCTGTCGGGAAATGGAGGGTAACACCACAAAACTCCAGCCAGGATTTGGTCACGTAGGGGCAGCAGTGGGTCTATGTTGCTGGGATAGGAGCAACTTAAAAGAGAAGGTGAGGATGGTTTCTGAACGCAGAGAATGGGAGCCACGTCACTGAGTTGAATACGTGGAAACTGTTGAACAGACTGTCTGTCTGTGTTCTGCTGTGTGTATTCCAGTGACTACGCTCCACAGCAGTAACAAAAATATAAACGAAAAAATAAGAGAGAAGGTGTTTCCACATGTCCTATATAAAAGCAATGTAATATCTACTGGCTTGCTCATCTGGTGGGTTAGGGGTCTGGGAGGGGGGAAGGAAACAAAGGGTGAAACTAAAAGAATGCACATTAAAAATGAGCAATTTCCATTTGATTCGTTGCTTCCCTTCAGACAAATTCAATTAAGTCAACGCATTCTCCACCTCTTTCAGGAACTGCTAACCTAAGAAAGTCCGCCCAGGAAACCCGTACCTCCTTCTGGGCCATCTCCCGCAGGCGTCTGGGGAGGCGTTTGACATTGTGGCTCATGGCTCTGCGCCTCATGTGCCGCGGCAGAGTCTGGAACACCATGGAGTTGGAAGACTTCTGGGTCACCGCTCTCAGCATGGCACTGATCTCCGCGGCCCGGGCCTGCGCGAAAGTCGACGCTGCCAGAGGAAGGAGCACTTTCAGTAACAACGCAGGTCTCAAAGCAACACTGTCAGCTAGACTGCACTTTACCCACCGCCCCTGCAAACCTCCTGGTGGCTGTCGATCAGTCGGGGGTTAGCTTGGTTTATGACTTGTGTACAAGACTTCCTCAACTTTGACGTTTTCCCAGCTTTCTACAAAACCTTTCACTCTGATTAGAAAGTTAAGTTGAAGACTAGCTTACAAAGTTATTTAAATTGGAAGGGTGGGGCCTGTGCTCGCTCTATATGACATGTACTACATACAATTCGTGCCCATGCAATTGAACCAGTGCGATGCTCACACAGTGAAACTTAGAAAAGCCAAACTTTTAGCTACGGTTTTGATTCCAAGTTATTCTTTTTTTTCTGTTAATTATTTTTGGCTTTTTCTGAATATGTAGCATTTCTAATTACTGAAAACTAAACCTTTCAGAATAATAATAATTTGTAATTTATCAAGGGTTCACGAGGGTGGGAGGGTACAGGAAAGAGGGAAGAAAGAGGAGCTGATACCACGGGCTCAAATAGAAAGTGAATGTTTAGAAAATGATGATGGCACGGGAACCGATTACATGGAACTGTGTGTGACCTCCTCCCTGGGGGACAGACAACCGAAAAGTGGGTGAAGGGAGACGTCGGACAGGGAAAGATATGACAAAATACCCATTTATAAACTATCAAGGGCTCATGAGGGAGGGGGGAGCGGGGAGGGAGGGGAAAAATGAGGACCTAATGTCGGGGGTTTGAGTGGAGAGAAAATGTTTTGAGAAACGATGTACAAATGTGCTTTACACAATTGATGTGTGTATGGACTGGGATAACAGTTGTATGAACCCTTAATAAAATGTTAAAAAAAAAAAAAAGAAAGAAAATGATGACGGCAACATATGTATAAAAAAGCTTGATACAATTGATACATGAATTGTTAGAAGAGCTGTAAGAGCCCACAAAAAAGTGATCTTAAGTAAATCTTTTCTTCTTTGAAGAGTAAACAAGGCGCTGAAGATATTTAAGAGCAGTCCTGCAACAACGGCATCAAGAGACCGGCGGCATAGCTGAGGTGTGGCATAATACAGGGTTCACATGATGATAGGGATGAGATGAGGGAAATGGGGCAGGGGGCAATGAGGCCAGAAAGAATCTGGAGGCTGCATTTAAAGGCTGTTAGGAACCCTGGACGTGTAGTTGGGTTCCGGGTTGGCGTGTTAACTGCAAGGTCAGCAGTTAAAAGGCACCATCTGCTGCGCAGAAAGTTGAGGCTTTCTGTTTCTGTAAGATTTAAAGCCTCAGACCAAGGGCTTAAGTAGAAAGAAAATGTTTTGAAAATGATGATGGTAACATACATACAAATGTGCTTGAGACAGTGGATGGATGGATGGATTGTGGTAAGAGCTGTAAGAGCTCCCAATAAAAGTATTTTTTTTAAAAAAGGAAGGATTCTTAAGATTTTAACAAATGGGGAAAAAAACTTTCAATTGTTAAGTATTTAAAAAAATCCTCTTCTTAAAAAACAAACAACTATTCATATGAAACCAAACTGACAATAGCAATTCCAGTGATTCGATGGGAGACTTAGAGGGCAGTGAGTTTATGTTAACGAGGGAGGAACATTTAGAAAAGGAAGATGATTCAGATTGTATAACTCAAAAACGTAATCAGTTACTAAACTTCACAGGTAAGACATTGTTGAATTGGTGCACACTCTGCTGTGTATAATCTCAACAACAACAAAAATACATTACACATAAAAGATGTAAAGCCTGGGACACTCAACGGGGCAGTTCCCTGCCCTACGGAAGGGTGGAGATGCGTCGAAGGGACTCAAAGGCAGTGAGTGGGAGAGAGAGTTCCGTCTGGCTTCATCTCTGCAGAATGCGTGCCGCGGGTTTAGGCAGCACTGGCTGGTTGTGAGAAGAGAACGTAGAAAAGACGCCAGCCTCAGGGAGGAGCAGTCCAGCAAGGGGCAGAGCGCGTCATTGCAGGAGGAGCACTCAGGCCCAAGGACACCATGGCCACCCTGCAGGCGAAGAGGAGCCGGGGGCCGATCTGTTGGCCTGTCTGCTTACGTTAGACACAAGGAGCTCCTGGCGGAATCTGTTTACAAATACATACCTACCAGTGATATACTTGGGGATCTCCTGAGAAGTGCCCTCGGGGCCGGCTTTCCATCCTCCCTTCTTCCTAAACATTACTTTGGAGGACGACTGTTCGTTGGCATGAGGGTCAGGCAGTACATGGTGAGTCCCTTTGGTTTCTTGCTGTTGGAAACTTCCAGAACGAGAGTCTAGTATATTTTCAAACAGAAAGCAAAGAGAAGTGGCAGTGAGCTTGAGCGCTATGGTCACATGACCAATAGGTGGCACACAGGTCACCACATCAGCGCGACGCGTGAAGGAACGTGAGATACAGTGAAAATGAGGGGAGATTTCTCCAGACAGCACACATTTATTTAGATTCCAGTGTCCTGTAAGTATGACGATCAGCATGATTTTGCATATTCAATCTTGTCTCATAATTCTCATGGGCACCAAAGGTGAGAAGGACCATGCTAAATTAAAGAAAGAAAAGCAGCCTTTCTATACAAATGCCTCACCGCTCAAAGCATTCTGGCCTTAAAATAACATGAAATCTATCTCGGACGGAGAGGGAGAGAGAACCTCTTTTAAAACACACAGGACTTTAACTTAATTAGTAAATAATTGATATTGACATAGAGATAAAATATGTAATATGCATCTATTTTTAATTCATCCCATTTATTGTTTGGATAAGTAGTCCTGGTGGCACAGTGGTTAAAATGCTCAATTGCCGGCCAATAAGTCAGCGGTTCAAACCCACTTCCTGATCCGCTACAGAAAGATTCAGCCTTGGAGACCCAAGGTCATCATGGAGAGTCCAACTCACAAAAGACCCTACCGGACAGAACAGAATTGCCCCATGGGGTTTGCAAGACTACAGATCTTTCCAGAAGCAGACTGCCACACCGTCCTCCCAAGGAATTGTTGGGGGGTTGGAACTGCGGACCTTTGGCTTGGCAGCTCGGAGCTTAACCAATGCAGCACCAGTGTTCTCTGGGCCAACTCTACTCGTGAGCTGCCGGGTCAGAATCGACCCGAAAGCATTTTTCATGGAAGAAAAATAAAACAACCCTCTCTAGATATTGACCATCAAAAGAAGTTATCTAAAGCAAGTTGATCTACCTAGACCAGAGAAAGAGTGTCGCGCGCCCTGTGGGCCTTACCTTGCTTCTGACTTGGGGCAGGTTTTCCACCTCCACTGTGGTGCCTGACACCTCGGTTAGCGGCAAAGCTAGAGAACAAAGTCACGCTGGTGGGCTGGTTTCTCATTTTCTTAGCATGTTTTCTCTCTTTGGCGTTAGACATGTCTGGAGAGGAAGGGACACATCTAATGCAGGAAGAAAAAGCTCGCATTCAAAATTCAAATGCTTACAGTGAACGGATGACAAAGCTAGAGTGGTATTGATCTGCAGCAGGGATTTATACCCCGGGAGTTACCTAGGGAAATCCCTGAATGAATAAATGCTCCAGAAACCAAGCTCACTGCCCTCGTGTCAATTCCGACTCATAGTAACCCCCCAAGAACTGGGTTTCTGAGGCTGTAACTCTTTGAGGGAGTAGGAAGCCTGCTCTTCCTCCTGCAGGACGCCTGGTGGTTTCAAACGGCTGACCTTGCAGTTAGCAGCCCAACAGGTAAGCACTAAACTACCAGGGCTGCATCCATGAGTGATACTTGCACCAAAAACCGATTCTGAAGGGGGAAAAAAACAATTCTATAGAATGGAGAGACCTTATGAGGATCCTCTAGTCAGCATGGCCAGATAGATGGCCATGTATATGGGGTCAGGTATATGGGGATCAGTAACACTATCTGTCTGCTACGAGGGCGAAAAATGAGGTGAGGGATACAATCACCCTGCTGGCGTTGAAGAAATTAAACTGGCTAAAACATTTCAACTTTATTCTGAGGTAAAATGAGAGCGAACAGAATCAATGACACACAGAACATGCCATTCCAAATTGAATTTAAATCATGGAGGTTTTCATTTCTATCATGGACCCGAAGCCAGCTGCAACTTTGATTTCTAACAGCAAATGATGGTGGATTCACGGCAAGGGACGAAAACCCAAACTCCTGCCACTGAGTCCATTCTGACTCAGGGTGGCCCTAGGGACAGGGTAGAACCACCCCACAGGGCTCCCCAGGCTGTCCATCTTTACGGAAGCAGACAGCCTCTACTTTCTCCCAAGGGGCAGCTGGCGGGTTCAAATTGCTGACCTTCTAGTTAGTAGCGGAATGTTTTAACCACTGCGCCACCAGGACTCTTGATTTAAGGCAAGCACTAGTCGTGCCCAACGGATTAACTCAAGAGTTCTCCACTCTATCAACCTGACCCCACGTCTACTGAAAAATATCTATCACCTGCTTTCTATTTTGAACTGAAGCTCATGCAGAACTCCTGTCGTGCACAAAAGGAGCCTGGTGGGGCACTGCTGGGTAAGCAATGGGCTGCTGAGAGCAAGGTCAGCAGTTCAAATCCACCAGCCATCTGAAAGATGAGGCTGTCTGCTCCTGTAAAGACTTTAGTCTCAGAAGCCCAGAGACGATGTACTCTGACCTCTAAGGCTGTCAAGAGTCGGAATCAATTTGATGGCAGGCAGCGGGTGCCAGATGACAGGAGATTTTGAACCCAGGCAGTATCCAAACAGCACCCGCACCCACACCGATACTTGTCCCTAAAGCAGCTGAAGAGTCTGGGAAGTGTGGATGCCACTGACAGTCATTAACTCTTTCTTTGCTGACTGTCGGGAAGGCTGCAGGGTCTTGTACGGAGGGGACACCTGGGAGAGGATGGGGAGACTTGGTGGGGGTAACAGCTATTTCAATATTTAAACACTAGTTTTCCTTGAATTTATAAATAGAATTACCATGAACACAGCAGCTACAGAGGGTAAATAAGGGGGTGAGAAGCGTAAGCTGACAATGGCAACATAATTTTCCGAACTGCTGTGCAATTCCTGGTAAAGCACGAGATTTTAAAAATTCAGCAGGCCCCTGGATTTAATGCATTCCTGGGAGAGGGTGTATAGTAAAACGGTGCAACTAATACTTTTATGTAACACAGAATTAAGTGGTGAGTTGCTGTGGGAGGGTCCTGCACACTGCGGCTGGTTGTCTAACATCACTGGCCCCTGTCCACTAACTGCCTGCAGAGATCCCTAAATATCACCCAAACTAAGCGCCTGGTGGCGTGTACCG